ATTTTGAAAAAACTAGATCTGTATCGGTTAACGTTAAGATTATTGGTTGGATCCAGATATCTGTAATCTTGATCACATCATCTTGAATGGGAGCTTTGGTGCAATAAATCCAGAAAACCAGAATTACTGAAAACCCATATGGCAAGTCCCGAGTTGAGAGTAGCAGTGATCTTTGATAGTACTACAGGAAGACTGAATTTGGAATCGGAAACTAAGACCGGAGAACTGAGCGACCAGGTTCTTAAGTGGGGGAACATACTAGCCGAACCGCCAGCTTACTACCGGAGGAAAAGGACTTGTGCTCTGGAAGCATATATCAAGGGGAGGGAGACTGTAAGGCACCTAGAGCCTGAGCAGACCAACCCTTCCAGGTTGCCGGCTGGAAGTAAGGGAGAGACCAATAAGAAATCCGGAAAAGAAGGAGATTAGAATGTGGGTACTGGGGTTGTTGTGAACCTTGTAAGGGCAGGAGTATGTAAGTGAAAACTAACTAGGAAGGTTGTGGCTTGAGATACGAATCGGGTTATGGCAGTATTCGAAATAATAGCTTGAGACACGGACCTAGTAGCGGCAGCACAACATGTACTAGTTGGGGAAAAGTTACTGAACATGCAGGTGAGTACATGAGTGGGACATGTACCATTCTGTTAGGTTTACCACAAGGATAAATGCCTATGTGGCTAAAGTCTTAAAGTCCTTACACGGCATTGTTAATCTTATTAAGAGTGTTAGGGTAAGCATGTTACAGAAATGGTGCCAGAGGATTTAAATGGGTATCCCCCATAGTTGGGTGCAGGTATGGAAGCTAGTATGGAACCTAGGGCAGACTACTTAAATAGGTAACCAAAAGTTGCATATATGGCTAGTCATACTTTCATTAGTTAAATAATCAGAGAGCTTAAATAGGTAATTTTCTAGTTGGGTTGCAGGTATGGTGGCTAGTGTAGAACCCAGGCAGACTACTTAAATTAGATACCAAAAATACATGTGTGGCTAGTTGTATCCTCATGAAATTGATGTAATATCGTAATTACCTGAATAAAGCTAAGTGCTGAGGGACCTAAGTAGTCACCTTAATATTAAAAAAAAAAAAAAAAAAGTATAATCATTAGCAGTATTAATGATATAAATATCTTGAGGATAAGGAGTAGAAGGACAGCTTCTAGATTAGTTAGAAGAATGATAATCTCTATTATTTCTTAATTTATTTTGAGATTTACTTTGACTTCTAGATTAATCATATCTAGAATGACTAGGAGTTTGGTCTTTGAATCTGTTTCTATCTCTAAATTGAGATCGGTCATAAGATTGATAATTCTTTGATAATAAGGAGCTATATTGATCATGGAAATAGACACGAGAGCTTCTATTTTTATCTTCTTTTCTAATACAGCACTCTTTAATAAAATGTTATTTATTTCTACAATAATAGTATACAGCATTACTATTATTATTATTACTTTGTTATAAGGAACTTTTATTGTTGTCTGTATAATAGACAGGAGTAGGAGGAGTATTTTGTTTCTCTGCAAGATTGATACTTAATTTAGCAATTTGTTTAATAAAATATTCAATAGCTTGATTAGTAGTATTGTTGGTATTATAGTCAGTGGCCATGGTTCTTCTAGTTTTCTATTTTCTAGCTTTAGTTATAGTGGTATTCAAGATGTCATGTTCTATAGCTTGAACATTTATAGCATATTCTGGATGTAATTCTTGAATAAAGAATTGAATAAGTAATAAGGCAAGAAGGTTATTATTAGGGTTAACTCTGGCTTTTAATTGTTTAAAGCAGCTAGCATAGATATTAACTATATCTGTTTCTTGTTTTATTGTGAAAAGTTGTTTTTGCCATTCTGCTTTTTGTTTGGTAGTGCTAAACTTTTCTTTAAACAGATAAGAAAAACTTCTAATTTGTTGACTATTTACTAGTTAGCCATATCAATTATGATGAAAGTAAGTTGGTATATCTGCAAGACTAGTAAACTATTCTTGAGTATTGTTTTTCATATAAGTAGCAACTAATTCTAATTGTCAAGCAGCACTTCAGTGATTAGCTTTGGCAGCTCTTTTAAATTTTTTTATCCAGGTTATAGAGTCTTGGGTTCTGTCACCTCAATAATAATCTATTTTAATAAGTGATTTTTCACTACCTTGCTTTAGGGCTTCAGCAAGTTAAGTTATTGCTTATATAGCAGTAGTCAAAGCAGTATCTCCTATATTGTTTAATAGTATTTGTTCAATTTTTTTAGGTTAGAAATTTTCTTTAGGTTGTTTAGGCTCAAAGTCTTGATCTTCTTGATTCTTAGATATTTCAGTATGCTCAGATTCATTGTCAGAAGGATATTTACCAGATAAAGGGTATACTTCAAGTAATTCAGGATCTTTAACAAAATGTGATTCAAAGTTAGCTTTCAAATTAATTTCTATAATTTGATGAGTATTTTCAGAATAGATAATTAGAATTGGTCGACAGAGTTGAGGTGGAGTATTTAGAGGTATAGTACTTAAAGATGTTCAGAGATAGGCTCTGATAATAGGGGGAGGAAGATAAGTAATAGTTGTATAGTTAGTAGAGAAAAGGTTAAGACATCAGATAAATTAGTTAAATCTAGTAAGTTGTTGACTAGTAGAAGGTATTAGGCTAGGTTGGTGAGGGGGAATATCTAAAAGGATTACTGTAAGAGGAGAAGAGAAAAGGTTAAGTTAAGAAAGAAATTCTATTTGAGTAATATCTTTATTATATAAAAGTAAATTAGATAAAGTGGGGTTATCAGGAATAGTATCTAAATCATCAGGTCCTAATATATATATTGACTATATAGGTGGGACTATATCAAAGGTAATATCTGTACTAAAATCTTGTTTATAAGAAAAAGAAGAATAAGCTTTGATAGTAGTAGCTATTCAATGAAATTGTAATGTGATTGATAAAAAGAGAGCTTTAATATAATGGTCAAAGATATTGTCTTTAAAATCAAGAGATAAAGTAAAAACAAGAGCATAAGAAGTATTTTGTCGAAGAAAATTAGATATTGCTTCTTTTGGGTCTAAGTAGGGGTTGACATAGTGGTAGCTAAAAACAATATCACAGGCAGTAGCTCTAGCTATATTGTAATTTCATATAGTACTTAGTTGAAAATGAGCATCAACTATTTTTTGAGTATATTTGATAGCAAAATAAGTATCTCTATATTCAGTTCAAAAGTGATTATAAGAGCGGTGAAAACTAAAAACAGGATAATAAATATTGCAGAATAAATCAGAGTTTTGTAGTTATAAATCTTAGATAGGTAGTATAGATAGATGACTAGCTTCATATGCTTTAATTTGTTCATGATGAATCTCATAAGCTTGATTTATACAGGGTTTTGTCTAAATTTGTATCTGAAATAATTAGTAACTAAATTAAAAATTGGAATTACTTATACTTACACTTTGGCTCATGAGTAATTCACGCTTAATACTTAGTTAAAGTTTGCAGTAAGTTGCAAGCTTTTGGTTGTTATAAAAGCAAAGGCTTAAAGTGGCTCTTCAGTACAAATCTCTTTTAATTTAATAGGGCTTTTCAAGTTGCTACTAAAGCAGAGGTATTAAGTGTGCCTTTCTGTGCAAATCTCTTTCAATTTGACAGGATTTTCAAATATACTATTACTCTTGTAGTAATAGATATTTATAAATAAATTAATCTTTAAGAAGCAAGAAAGAATTCCGGGATTTTTAATTTTGGTTTCCACCAGGAAGCACCAAAATGTTACAAGTGACTATAGCCTTCTTGTAAATATAGTACCGTAAATAGCCATATAAAAGACCCCCTATGGTAGTAGACCCCTCACTAATGTACCTGGGTCTATATCACAGGTTATTTATTTGGTTGAATGTAAAAGACCCGGGTCTTTAATACCAGGGTACTTTATATAGAAAATTAAATTACATATTGATATATTCTAGGGCTATAATAGAGCGATTATTTTAACTTGTTTTTGAGCATATCCTTAAAAGAATTGTATTTAAATTATTTAATATTCAATCTACAAATAAATTATACAACTAAAAATTATTTAATACATTACATTTAAAACAGTTTAGATAGCAACAGCAGTGTTTGAAAATTTATTATGAAGTTGTGCTAAATCTTTGATATATTCATGAGTTATTTCAATTTACTTTCTATATAAATTCTCTAAAATTTGATATTAAAAAGTCATAAAGACTTCCTCTATTTGCTTATTAAAACATTATCAATTATTCATTGCTAATAGTGTTTTGTGTTAGTTCATATATTTCAAGTTTACTACCCATCAACCTATTTCCATATTATTTCTAGTCTCAAATATTTTCACATTCGACCATCTCATTTTCATAAAACAGATCCACTTCTTCATCTTCATCATAATTTTCATCTATAGCTAAACTAGCATCTTAAATTAAATCGCTGTCTTGAGTTGGTTCATAAACATTTTCATTATCTTGACTTAGATCATATGAACTTTCACTATCTTGAGTTAAATCATAGATACTTTCATTATCTTGAGTTAAATTGTAGACATTTTCATTATCTTGAGTTAAATTGTAGACACTTTCATCATCTTGTCAAATTATAAATATTTTTATCTTTAATTAAATTAAGGTGTTTATAAACAATTTTATCCAATAACAAATATA